CGTTAACACAACATTGCTTATAATTATTTCCATCGTTTTAGGTTAGGTTAGCAAACCATTTGGCTTTTAGCGTTAGAAGAACTGCCACATGAGCTCTCTCCCCAGAATGAAGAAAGCCAATATGGCCGCCAAATACAACCTCTTAGCTTTGAAAGTTCTCCTTCATTAACTTCATTAGTTTTAATTTGCAATATCGGTCGATTTACGCAACTTTTAAACTTCTGGTTCAGTTTTCGTTCCTTCTGCTTTGAGAATGGAATAATAATTACTCAGGGGTAATACAGTGTAAAGATTTGTAGAGAAAAACATCAACAACAACTTGCAGATTTATAGCAAAAAATGTACTTTAAAAATGAACTAAAATATTCAAAACACTCTGATCACGTGACTGATGACGTAATGTCCCTCTTTTGGTAAGGTATAACATAACTTTCTTGCAAATTTTCTCTGCCGTCTGTTGAAACGTCAACTCTCTACAGCCCTCGGCCTAGTTTCGCTCATGTTCATTGCCCCCTTAAGTTTTAAATTCTGGACGCAAACTGGTTATTTTTAAATGCTCCACACAGCCAAAACCTCAAATTTTAATCCAATGATGAAATCTTGCCACAGCAACAAAAAACACTAATTTAGCAATGGTCACGTGACTGATGACGTCATCACCTAGATGTGACATGACAAAATATTTTATGGCAAGTGTTATCTTGTTGTGGTCTGACATTCTTCTACGTAAAAAATTGTCCAAGTTATAAAGCTTTCAAAAAATTGCTTCAAAGGATTCTGGGATAATTTCTGCGATAATTAGTATAGGTAATAGCATGATTTGTAGTGATTTTTGGCATAAATACCACGAGTGATATTTCGAAATTGTTATATGTAATTTCACAAGCCGTTAGGTAAGTGAAATTTGAGACAACTTTGAAATATCACGAGTGGTATTTATGCCAAATATCACGTACAAAACATGCTATTATTTGTTTATACGACTACCCGCAAAAGGTTTATAAAATCATCATTGTTTGTTTCGCATGTAGGTACTTCAAATTAAGCTGAAATACCATTGCTCTAAGCCAATCAAATTGCACTAATTTCTCATGTAGTAGTATAATACATGTAATTTACTTTTATAATTATTATAATTACACGTGTCACCGGTAAAAGTAAACTATAATTATTTTACACTATATAAAGCTTCGAGTTTAAACCTTTCTTTTTCGTCTTTCTTCGGTGCCTCAAATTTATACGACGAAGTCACGGTTCGAGGTTATCCGTTATAGTGAGAAGTGATGTCATTTGCTTTTATTGAAATGAGTGGCTGGAAATTGATTGCTTTTTTTAAATATACAAATCATGTCCAGTGACATGCAAAGCATTTCAAAGAGGAGGTAAAATCAACTATTACAGCTGATTCTTAAGTCATGGCACAATTAAGCCCATTAATAAAATAGATTTACCAAGAGATACGAATGCTCTTACTGAAAACAAAAGAAAAAAAAAACAACTTAATAACAGCCTGCAAACAGCTAAGCTGAAACTTATGTCATGTTAGGCCCTTTTCAAACGTTGAATTTTCTATGAGTGCCGAACACCTATTTTACTCGATGCAAATAATTGAATACGGCAGGTTGATTCAGTAGTCGGATATAATGGTGCCGAATTTAACTCCGTTTGTTGTAAATATTCCCAGTCTCTAGAAATGAATTGTTATCCAATATGGATAAGGGTTTCCACAATTAATCCT